AAGAGAGGCTTCCCTGTGTGAAATGCCACTTCATCCCGGTAGGGAACCGATTCTCAACCGGGTTCTGTCTGAAATGACAGACCAGCACCCGGTTGAGAATCGGTTCCCTACCGGGAGAAAGCACCTGTCTGAAATTCCCCAGTGTTTCAAAGCAGTACTAGCATATACAGAAAGGAATGCAGATTGCAGGCTGCTGGTAGCATACATGCGCAGTGGGGTCTGAGAAGAACCAGGGAGGTTACACAGAGTTCTTTGGCAGCTTGCTGACAGTGGCCTCAGGCCAGTCACAGTACTCTCAGGACTCTCTCAGCCCCGCCTGCCTCACAAGGTGCCTGTTGAGGGGTGAGGAAGGGAAGGCGATTGTCAGCCATTTCGAGACTCCTTGGAGTAGAGAAAAACAGGGCATTAAAACCAACTCTGCTTCTTCTGCATCACGTCTCAGGGGCCAATCCCGTTCTCTCTTTTTTTAGACGACCCCTTTTACCACTCGGTGGAACCCTATACGAAGAAGGAGCTGGCCGCCATAACCGTGCCCGATATAATCCGCACTTACAAGGTGATGGCGGCGGAAAATATTCCAGAAAATCCACTGAAATTCCTGTATCCAAATATTCAGAAGGACCAAGCCTTTGGAAAATACTACTCCAGACCCAAGGAACGTAAGTGATCATCTTCCGGTAGAAAGTCATAATTTTATGACGGCAAGCCAAGTGTGTGTTTGTGTGTCTTTACTTGTTTTCTACGTTGGCGGACTCAACTGAGGGTGCCGGTTCTCTGTCCTTTGGCCCAAAACGTGCAGGGCAGCAGGAGGGGGGAGTAGAAATCAGGAGAAGGGTGCATCACCTTTCCTCCGCTTTTGTGCCAAAATTCCTTCTCACCCCCTTCCTGCTTTGCAAAGAAGCAACAGCATCAGGGTTTCAAAGGGATGTGTTCTATATATCTAACAGCACCTTGTGGCCCCGATGTGTGGATACTTAAATCTGTGGATCCAGGTCCACACCGACACTAAACATATTTTCCTGCAGACTCGAGGTACTCCGCGGGTTTGCAGAAAAATCCAGAAAGTTCTTAAAAATACACTGCGGGACTGTCTCCGGGAGAGGTTTTGCGCTCTGCAGGTGACAACCTGCTGGTGATCCCTGGCCCCAAAAAGGTCCGGCTGTCCTCGACCAAGGCCAGGGCCTTTTCCGACCCGCCCCCAACCTGGCAGAACTCTCTGCCAAAGACCCTCAGGGCCCTGCGGGATCTTATGCAATTCCGCAGGGCCTGTAAGGCAGAGATGTTCCACCAGGCAGTTGGCTGAGGACAGGAAGGGTTCTTTGTTGTGGCTGGCCCCCCCCCAAATCCTGAGCTTATGCTTCCCCCCCCCCTGCTCAGAAGTGGCCAGACAGTCCAGGCCTGGGATCTGAATTCCAGAGACGCCACCTCGGACTTTTGAAATCTGGTTTCTAACCTTTTATTTTAATTCCGTCTGTGATTAGAATTTTACCGGTCTCTATATTTGTCTTGTGGCTATGTGCTTTCTGTTGTACATTGTCCAGGTAGCCCTGCTTAGCAGGGATCGGGCAATAAATAAATAAATAAATAAATAAATAAAAATCCCTCCCCCAATTTTTTAAAAAATGCACAAGTGCAGACAATGCTCTTACCCGTCGAATTGGCAGTCGCCGCATCAGATGTCAACTCTGGGCCTGGCCACCATGGCGGAAGGTGCTAGGATCAGTTACGGGCCTGGCTGTCATAGCAATGGACTACAGGAGGGGCTTGGTGCCCAGCTGCCACTGTGGCTGATGCTAGGAGAGGCTGCGGGCCCAGGGTGTGCCAGGATCAGCTACGGGCCTGGCTGTAATAGCAACGGACTACAGAAGGAGCTTGGTGCCCAGCTGCCACTGTGGCTGATGCTAGGAGAGGCTGCGGGCCCCGCTGAGGCTGCAGAACACTCTGAGACCTGCCCCCGGCCTAGCTGCCACACAGGGAGCTGCCCCAGGCCTGGTTGCATGGCGGAGGACTCCAGGAGAGACTCTGGGGCTGGCTGCAGTGCTGGAGGACGCCAGGAGTCGTTCTGGGTTTGGAGCAGCCACTGTGTACCGTTGCTGTCACTGCAGATGGGTGGTGGAGCTGGAGTCGTGATGAACGAGATGGGATTCCCCCACCCCCTCCGACGAGTCTCGCGGGCCTTCCACTTGTTTTATTTACACCCCACCTTTCTCCTTGGTGGGGCCCCAAAGAGATTTACACCGTTCTCCTCTCCTCTGTGTTATTCTCACAACAGCCCTGTGAGGTAGGTTAGGCTGAAAGTGTGTCACTGGCCCAAGATCACCAGGCACGTTTCCGTGGCAGAGCAGGGATTCGAACCTGGGTTTCCCAGATCCTAATCTAACACGTTAACCCCCTACACCCTGCTGGCTCTCCATTATGTCGGCCGCACAATACGCATTTCTGCCTAACGACGCACGGTTTGGTCATTCCTGGCCGCGCATTCGGTGTAATTCTAAATGCGTTCTGATCTGAGAGATAATATTTTCGCCATCTGATCTTTTACAGCTTTGCTTCCAGGAGGGTAGCCATGTTGGTCTGCAGTAGAAGAGCTGGATTCGAGTCCCGGAGTACCTTAGAGACAGACAAGATTATTTGGGTATAAACTTTAGAGAGCTGAAGCTTGTCAGATACAAGCTGAAATGGAGGTCCCTTTCTGACAAAGGGAGATTTGACTCTCGAAAGCTTACCCCCTGAAAATCTTGTTGGTCGCTAAGGTCCTCCGGGACCCGAATCTGACTTCTTGTTCATAATTTACATGGTAGGGGGGTTGGCCTTAACGCAGAGTGGGGCCTGAGGCGAGAGTTGGTGGGGCACATGGACTGAGACCTGGGTTCAAATTCCGGCCTCTTGACGGAACTTGCTTCATTATCCAGGTCTCCCAGCCTGACTTCCTCCCAGAGGTGCTGGCAGGATAGAGTGGAAGGAAGGAGCGCTATTTTACGCCAGCCAGAAATGCTTGAAGGAAGGGCAGTGTTTTTAGAAAAAGGTAAAATTGCTAGTCCCGGGGTCCTAAAACGATGTCTTTGTTCCCCTTTTAGCTTCTGAACCCATGGACGTGGACGGTGGCGGAAAGGGATACATCAAAACTGAATTAATCTCTGTGTCTGAAGTGTGAGTTTGCCGAGAAGACACCTGCATGCCGTTTCAAACACTGCTTTTTTTGTTTTTGTTTGTTTGATGTTAGAACGGCCACACGGTCATGAATGAGGGGGTTGGGATGGTCAGTTTCCCTCCTTCCTTCTCACGCAACGCGGCCACATGCGCCTGCCCACGTCCGTGGCACCACCGGGTTCCGTATCTACACTGATCCTGGAAGTGACCGTGGGGACTGACCTGCCCCCCACCCGCCCTTCTCCCACTCCAGGATGGCTGTCCGTCCCCCACTCCCGCCCCCCACGCTCGCTCTTGAAAACATACATGGCTGTCAAAAATTGTTCATATTCTCCATCGGTATAATGTGCTTCTTCAATTGAATGCCGTGTACAGGCTGAGCAGAGTCCTCACAGGTTGTTGTTTTTTTTGGGGGGGGGGGGCAGTGTATGCCACTTGAGGGTTTGTGCCTGGGGGGAAGGGGGGGGCGTAAAGGAAGGGGAGCGACAGTTGCGAAGGGAAGAGCGAATAAGGCTAGAATAGTTCGGCGAAGTGGAGGCTTCTTGGAGAACTGGCAGAAAGGAGGGCTAACCAGAGAAAGGTTGCATGGTTATAACAAGGGTCAGCGACTTCCTTAAAAGTAACCATTTTCTTTGTAGTGTGGGGGTCTGTAGCATACTAGGCTACTTATGGCCTACCCTCCTGCTTACCCATCAATGCAGGGCTGCAATCTTTGCCGGGGGGGGACGGGGGACGACGACAATCCTTTTCTTTCTGTTAAGCTCATCTGCTCTTCTTATTCATCGTTAAGCTCATGTTTCTCGTTTGTGTTCTCTACGTTGGCTTCTTTCTTCTTCTTGTATAAACACTGTATATTAGGGGTGGCCAAACTCTGGCTCGGGAGCCGCATGCGGCTCTTTCACACCTATTGTGCGGCTCCCGGCAGGGCGGCCGGGGAAGCTAAATGCCATTAGCAAACAAATATCATTGGACAAATAAATATCGTTATCAATATCTGCTTTTATACCCCTTTTGTTGTTGTTTTTGGCAGTCTCGTTTCATGTTCATAAAAAGCAAATCTGCATGTTTCCCAGTAAAAACATGTAATATCTGTTAATGTCTTGCGGCTCTCAAACCTCTGACGTTTACTCTGTGTGGCTCTTTACGTTAAGCGAGTTTGGCCACCCCCTGCTGTATACTCTTCAGGTTTTGACTTGGATAGCCCAATCTCACCGGATCTCGGGAGCTAAGCCGAGCCAGCCACGGTTAGTACTTGGATGGGAGACCATCCTTGGATGGGCGTGACACAGAGGCAAGCGATGGCAAACCACTTCTGAACGGTCTCTTGCCTAGATAACCCTACGGGGTTGCCATAGGTCAGCCGTGACTTGATGCCCCTTTCCACAACCGCATACTCTTCCAGATGTCTCCATGTACTTTCCCCTCCCCACCACTTCTCCCACGGTCACCTTGTTCTCCATTTTTCCCCTCTGCACTTGCTGGTCCCAACTGGATTTAATTTTTTTTAATCTGGTTTCCCTTTGGCTCTTCTCGTTATTGTTGTGGTTATTTTGTTTAGATTTTAAACCTGAAAGCAGTACTTGTGTCTCGTTTCGGGGTATATGTGCATGTGTCGGCGCTCACTTTTTTGTTACGTTTCAATTTACAGGCCGCTAAGAGCTCCGCGGAATGGTTGACGGCAAGATGATCAGTATGCCACAAAGAGGCTCTAGAACAGTGGTGGCGAACCTATGGCACGGGTGCCAGAGGTGGCACTCAGAGCCCTCTCTGTGCCATCGCCCCAGCCAGGCCCAGACCATCATTAAAGTGTCGAATTCTCTGCCAAATAATTTTAAGTAAATGAAAGCATTTGGGATTGCTTTCCTTACTTTGTTTGGATCATCTTAAGTTAATGTATGAGTTGTTTTTTCTAAAGTAAAACCTCAGTATTCAGGTTAAATTGCCGTGTTGGGACTTTGCGATAAATAAGTGGGTTTTGGGTCGCAGTTTGGGCACTCGGTCTCTAAAAGGTTCGCCATCATTGCTCTAGAATCATAAACAAAATGCTCCGAGGCATGTCTCTCAGCCTGGAGCAGGTTGTGTATTCAGTGATTCCCAGCATCAGCATAGCCTGTTTCCCTCGCATGATATCTCTGGCTGTATATGAGCAGGGAAAGGAATTACGTTGTAATGTCATGCATGGAATTAGGAAGAAAAGCGCATTAGGAAAAAAAAGAAAGTGCTTTCTTTAGCATACGTTTTAGTTCTTTTGTGTCATGCCTATGTGCTGTGGTGTGTCTTGAGAGAGCCGCTGCACATTATAGGGTGTTGGCGAGAAGCCGCAAATAGCTGTTTGGAAATGTTCTTCGTATAACTTGCAGTTAAAAAAAGCTCTTCGTATAACTGGCAGTTCAGAAATGTTCTTTGTATAACTAACTTGTATAACCAGTTGCGTCTGAGCCCCGATAACCTGCTCTGAGCCCCGTTTACGGGGGAGGGCAGGATATAAATCCAATAAAATAAATCAATCGGTTTTCCCAGGTATCCTCCTTTTCTGAGTTTCGGGAGTGTTTCCGCCTCATATTGGTTCATGCACATGTGATTCCCCTGCCCTTACGTAACTTCAGTCTTTAGTGGTGTTAGACCCAAGCTGAAATTCTCTCAATTATAGCCTTTCCCAAAACTCTTTGTGCTAAAAGTGTGAACACCCAAGGACAGACTAGGAGTTTCTTGCAAAGAACAATTGTTTTGTGGCATGGATCAAGATGGGTAGCCGTGTTTGGCTGTTGCAGCGGAAAAAAGCAAGCGTCCAGTAGCACCTTAAAGACTAACAAAATTTGTGGCAGGGGATTAGCTTCCGTGAGGAAGTGAGCTCTTTTCGATATTATGCCTCAGCATCCATGAAGGAGGAGTGGCTCTCTCCAGAGCTGAATCCCTCTCAGAGAGACCTCTCTGGTGTTCACAGCTGAAAACAGAGTCTCTTAAGAACTGGGCTTCATTTACGAAAGTGGGGCTTAGTTTTTTTGGGGAGGTTGTGTCACGATGAGAGGGTGGTTCCTGCCTCAAGGCAAGCAACGTTTGTGGTCTCTACCTCAATCAATCTAAGAATACCAGTGTGTGGGGGGAATGCAGAGGAATATTACAACTCAGGAAGGCTGCTTGATTGCTGCTGCAGATTCATTAGACCCGTCCTCTTCTCTTCTCCTCTCCCTTCTTGTCTTCCAGCCACGCGTCCTCCAAACTGCATATCCCAGAAAATCTTTTGCCTCTGTCCCCTGAGGAATTTGATGAGTTCTCTCGGGTGGTGAGCCCTGCTGAAATCATGGTGAGTCAATAACATGTGGACGTATGTGTGTACCCCTCCTCAATCTAGCTGTTTAAGGAACGTTCTCCTGTTGATACGTTGCTTCTGTAATCCAGACCTTCCTCTGAAGAAGCAAGGGCAGCATATCGGAGGATGTGTCTCCCCGTTTTATTCTACGTAAGGGAGGCTCGATTGAAAGCCCCGTGATCTGCACAAGGCGAACTAATAAGCTTGGTTGCAGCGTGAGGATGTAGACTTGCAGTCTCCCTTGCCTCGATTCAGCACCCAGTTAACTATCAATTACAGCTGATAACAGGATCCATTTCAGTTCTGGTACTTTGTTGTATTAGTGCAGGGTTCTCCAATGTGGGGACCATGTGGACACTAGTATTTCCCTTGATGCCCACTGCTCAGAAAATGTGTGGGTCCATTGTAAGGCAGGGCTTGTTATTAGGGGTGTGCAGGGGGGAAATTCGGCTTTTTTTGGATTTGGGTATAATGAAGCCAATTTTTTTTGGTATACCCGAATACCAATATTGGTAATGTATCGGTGTTGGGATTTTTTTTTAATTATTCATTCAATTTATACCCCACCCTCCCCGCCAAAGCAGGCTCAGGAATACAAAAAAAATTGGTTCCATTATATCGTATGGGGCTACTGTAGTCAATGACAAAATCTTCTAAGGTGTATTCAGTAGGCTGGGGGGGGGGGGGCTTTGAGGTAGAGGCACCAAATTTGTAGTAGGGCCCAGAAGCCTAGTCACCCACCACCCCCAGGCCCCAACCCACCACCCCCACAAAATGAGAAAAGTTTTAAAAACTGTGCCTAATCAGTCAAACCAGTGGATGTCTTCAGTCTTCTATTCTCTAGCAGGCAGGATCTTGATCCAAATTAGTCCAAGTTAAGTCTCTCAGGCAGCAGCAGGAAAGTAAAGCTCAAAGCAGTAGCTGAAGCAGAAGCCAACCACACAGTCTCCAACCAAAGCGCTCTCAGCAGGAGTCAGCCAGCCAGAGACCCCTGCGTTTATGCTCTCTGGCCATACACGGAAGAATTTCAGAAAAGAACAAACTTCCCCAAAGAGCAGAGTGCCCACCTTTACCTGTAATCCTATTGGCCAATGCTCCTCCCCCATCCTGTCCCTGGGAAATTAAGCTAGTAGTTGGGCTTCAAGTTTGAAACTAGCAGCAACAACAGCATTGCAAGCTGCAATGCCATTTGCAGTGATTGGCTCTTCCCCCCTCCCTCCTGGAAAGCAGAGCAAAGGATAGGAAAGAGACAGAAACAGAGGGAAAAAGAAGGTAAGTACAGCCCTTTAAAGTTTAACCCCCCGAGCCTGTATTCAGCAATTCTGAATAACACTAAATAAAAGGGCTAGTTTCGGCTATTATTCGGCAGCTGAATCAGGTTAGAGAGTCTGATTCGGCTTGCTGAATACCCAAAAAATTCCAAAAGGCATTTTTTTGGGGGGTTTCCAGTTCGACTTTACTGAATGCACACCCCTACTCATTATTAACTGCTGTCATTCAAATGAAAGTGTTTTCAATTGGAGGATGAGGACTGGTAGACATCTGGGCTTTCCTTAGTGTGTGGTTCCATTCCGCCCTTCCACATTTCCTTTTCCCCAAAAAGTGTGAGAAGGGAGGGATTATCTTTGGCTCCATCTCCTGTGGCAGCCATTTTGGGGTGGTGCTCTCCACCACCTCTCAAAATCCCACAGGCTCCAAAAGGCTGGGGAACCCTGTATTTGTGTGTGATTTTGTATCCAGACATGTGTAACCAAGCAATCCATCGTTTAGACATTAATACTAATGATGGCAAAAGAGATTCAGGTGGGTCGCCGTTCGAGTCCAGTGGCACCTTTGAGACCAACAAAGTTTTATTCAAGGTATAAGATTTAGTGTGCACGTACACTAGGGTGCCATCCCCCCCAATGGATGGGGGTTTCTCCACTTTCAGGGGACCCAATCCGCTGCTGGCTGGTGGGGGAGCCCCGCCCTCAATGAGCCCTGTTGTGCCCGACACCATGATGTCACCTTGCTGGGCACATCACGTAGGGGACACTCTAGCACTTGGCTAAAAACTCTATGGTGACCACAGAGTTTTTGGCCAAACGCTAGAGCGTCCCCCGCACAACATGTCTGGTGCGAAGTGACATCATCGCATACACGCACTAGAGAATCCTGGGGGGCAGCCTGGAGCCCCCACTGGCAGCTGGTCAGCACCTGGCAATCCTAACACACACACAATGATGGGTGTGTGATAGGGGGAAAATGCTAAGGTAGGGGGAACGTGCATCTCTTGTGTTGACCACGCAGCCAGATACTCTGCCCCAGCATGAAGTATATTCGCTCTTCTATCATTTAATGACTGTGTTAGCAGACCCGGATTTTAATATCCCATTAGATGCATGTAAATATATAGCTGCTGCAATTAAGCGTTGTTTGTTTGTAATGAATTTTGAACAGCAGTAACTTTTTTGTTCTATTGCTGTCTTTGTCTGGTCAAACAAGCCTGTTGGCGATGGGGACATGCTGTTTGTTGTGACTGAAGCAACCCGTTCTGGTTTTCTTCCCTTCCAGATGTATTCAAATTGTGAACCATAAGTGCCTCCTCGGGAGCCTGCATAGAAGCATGAGTCACCTTCCCATCTGCTAGTCTGCAGCTAGTTGAGATCCTCGCAAGGCTGTAAGACTGGCCTCAACCGGTCCCTGCAAAGAGGATCTGCCACGATAATATACCTGCGCGCCAGACCTGCTGAGCTCTACCTTTGTGTTCGTTGCCGCTTCAAAAACTGGAAACGTTTTCACTTGTTTTCAAGAATTAGTTGTTCAGTAAGTAGGTCTTCACTCTCGCTGTCTCTTCCCCTACCTGTATGCTTCTTTCCGAGTTCATTTGGTCAGGTGGGGCACTCCGGAAAAAATAAAGGGGGCGTCCCGCACCAACGAGTGTGAACCTTCTGTAGTCGAATGCTTTGAAACGGTCATGGTTGCTTCCTTTTGGAGAGACTGGACTGAAAGATAAGCGCTCTCTCATCTTGCCAGGAGAGGCCACGTCAGACAGCTGCGTTAAAAACGTGGCAAGTGGTTTCCGTGAGCAATGTGGTCATTAGGAGTTCTGTGTTGGCGAAAGGGTGGGTTTTAAAAAAATATATATTTTTTTATTTTAGCATTTATATCCCGCCCTCCCCGCAAACGGGCTCAGGGCGGCTTACAAAGAGCAAGAAGTGCCCACGCAGAAAATCATATAAAAACAGTAAAACCCAGTAATTTATACCCCGCTTTCCTCCATGCTGGGGACATAATGTGGATTACGGTATCGCTCTCCCCTCCTCCTCTCTATCCTCACAGCGACGACCCAGCGAGGTAGGTCAGATGGAGTGTGTGACGGGCCGAGTATCATTCAGCCAGCTTCCATGGGGGGGGGGTTGCTGTCCGAGATCTTAGTTTGACACTAAACTAGGGCTCTTGTTTCCACGCATTGGGCAGTGACGACGCCCTTTCTGCGGGGAAGTGGGGCATCGACGTCAGCATTACAGGGGAGGCTCGTGAGTGACCACATCCAAATCAGAAAAGGGGGGGGGTCCGGAACCATGTAGTACCACAGAGGGGGCTGTCTGAGGGAGGCAACGTTGCCAGTTTAAATTGTAGCAAAGAGCAAGAGAAGCACCGTGAATACGAATGGAATTTGTGGCAGGGTGTGAGCTTTCGTGAGTCCCGTGCTCATGTCTTCAGACCGATCAAGATGGGTGGCCGTGTGAGTCTTGTCTGTAGCCGTAGGCAAGAGCAAGAGTCCACTAGCACCTTGCTCGAAAGCCAGTCGAGCCCGACTCTAGGGTTGCGGTGCTCGTCTCCGTTTCAAAGCCGAAGAGCCAGCGCTGTCTGAAGACGTTTCTGTGGTCATGTGGCCGGCATGACTAAACACCGAGGCACATGGAACGCTGTTACCTTCCCACCGAAGTGGTATCTATTTATCTACTGGCAATTTCTTGCTTTCGAACTGCTAGGTTGGCAGGAGCTGGAACTAGAGACGGGAGCTCACTCCATCATGCGGCACACAGTTCAGCGTCTGGCACCTTAAAGACCAATAAAATTTGTGGTGGGTTGTGAGTTTTCGTGAGTCACATGCTCTCGTCTTCAGATAGATCAAGATGGACATTTATTCATTCATAAATAATATAGTACAATTTGTATCCCGCCCTCTCCGCCGGAGCAGGCTCGGGGCGGCTTACGTACAAAATTAAAACACATTAAAATATAAATCAATTATAAATAAGTTATAAACATCACAGTCGCGTTCGTCTGTCTGTAGCAGTAGGCAAGAGGCCAGTGGCACCTTAAAGACCAATACAATTTGTGGCGGCTTTCGTGAGTCACCGCTCACGTCCTTCAGATACAGCTGGAATGTGAGTCCTCCTGCCCTAGCCGTGTCTGAGGAAGTGAGCAGTGACCGTAGTTGTTGCTCTCGTCGGCTCGGCTCATTCATAAATATAATTCGATTTATATCCCGCCCTCTCCGCCGGAGCAGGCTCGGGGCGGCTTGCGTACAAAGTTAAAA